AGAGCAGGGCCGGGGGGGCGGCGCCGCAGGTCGGGCAGGAGCCCCCCCCCCCCCCCCCCCCCCACGCAAAAAAGAAATGAGAAGCCTTGTCGCTTTTCCCAGACTACTAATACTACCCACCCCGGACTCCTCGCAGGCGATGGCTAGAGTGTGGCGGCTGGGCCAGACGAAGGAGGTGTCCATGTACAGGCTGCTGTCCACGGGGACCTTGGAGGAGAGCATATTTCAGCGCCAGATCTTCAAGGGGGCTCTCTACGACCTCATCCACGACTCCAACGACGATCCATCGAAGGAAAGCGGCGGCGGCGGCGGTGGTGGTGGCAGACAGCGGCGAGGGGGCGCCGATGATGGTAGCACGGGGGCGGCGGCGGCGGCGGCGGCGGCGGCGGGCAAGGAAGGGGGCGGGAAAAGCGGCCGGGGTTTCAGCCAGGAGGAGCTCAAGGAGCTGTTCGTTCTCAGGACGGAGACCAGGAGCGATACCTACGACAAGCTCCGGCGGGGGCGGGCGGCGGCTACCCCTACGGCGGCGGGGGCGGCGTCTGCGCACGAGGGGGGCCGGTACCAGGAAGTTACGCCTGAACGAGAGGCGGGAGCGAGAGGAGACGGAGAAGAAGATGGTGGGCGAGGAGCGACCGCCGCCGCCGCTCCGGTGGTCGCCGTCGAAGAAGAAGCGTGGGAAGACTACGGCGGGCCGTCGGCGGTGGTAGACAAGGCTCTGCGGCTGGCGCTCCTGGAAGAACCGACTGGGACATCATCACAGGTCGGCGGCGGCGGCGGCGGCGCGGGCGGGGTTGTGACCTTTGTGAGGGAGGTGAAGAGGGGCGGGAGGCCAGAGCAGCAGCAGCAGCAGCAGCAGCAGCGGGGTGGTGGCGGTGGTGTCGGGACGGGAGGCGCTTCTCGCAGCCCGTTCGCGGCGCTGGAAGGTGCGACAGGAAACGGCTACGGCATGGAGGGCAACGAGGCGTAGGTGACAGCAGCGCGACCTCGAGAGCTCAACGGTGAAGGCCGCCGCCAGCAAGCGGCGAACGCTGTCGACCTGCTGCGCTTGGTTTAGAACAGAAAAAGCGGGGGTGGCGTGGTTGGGGAGGCGTGGTCCCTGTCGTAGGTTTGTCAAGAGGACGAACGAAATGCACGGAATCACGTGCACAGTTTTTTCCAGCTCGGTTCGCAAAATTGAGTGAGTTTACAGAAGGTCTTTCAACCCCCACCCGGAGTAGGGATCTTGGCCGACGTGGATAGCGCACAACAAAGAGAAGCGCACAGCAAAGAGGAGAACGGAGCTGAATCCCACGGGCGGAAGCCATCGTCATATGTCCACGCTCTCGCATCACAACCACACCGGGCAAGTAATCCCTCAACCGGTCCTCTCACGGCCAACAACTGTAGTTACCGTCGATGAAGGCGCCTTGGAGTCCTATGCGTAGCCAAGTGCTTCCAAAACATACAGAGGTCACTGGAGAACGCATGTTGTGAGACATTCTATATACTGCTGCTGTAGATGGGGAATTTGTTGTGGATTGCCGTAGACTCTGTGTGAATAGTGTACCAGGGTCGACCAGCGGGCAGCCCCACTCAACGACAGATGCGTTACACAAAACAACAACTTTACCGACAAGCGCGTATTCATGCATATCTCAACGTGTTTCGTTCAATTGGAGCATCTTTATATATGGAGGCGAGCTGCATACAAGTAGGCGTACACCACCATCAGGTGCATGCACACTACAGAAATGTAACTACTGTATGTATCATACACTTCCGTCACTCGTCACTCGTCGCTGATGTAACGCAAGGCAAGTTGATGCCGTAACTGTACGATACCGTGATGGTACATATTTGCCCACGTTTAATAACGGTATGCTGTTGCATATGGTAGGTAGTCTAGGCAGTACCAGCCATATCCACATATCCATTTTCTCGGGCAACAGAGAGGTCCGAGGATCTGGTTGGCGGCGTCAGCAGGACCTTTCTTTGCGTAGTTCCGCAGATCGTTGCACGAAATGGTATTTACAGCAGTAGACATGAAGAGTCAACGGCCGGGGCGCGTGAGCCCCACCTCTCTTGCCACTCTCCCAGCACTTCAGCAAGGCCCAAAACCAATCAAAGTGAGTGAAATTCACGTCTTGTTCCTCTACGATAGTCGGGCCTGCCCCACATCGCAATCACAAACGTGTATACTCAACCCCCACAGCGTGCGTTTTCCTCCCCATGTGAGCAACACCTAGGCTATACAGATAGACTAAATAGATTATGGACCTTCCGTATTGAAGCGAACCCCAAGTTGGCTGTAGAGCAGCTGGTGGTCAAGAGTAGACGAAGCTGCGAGCTTGTGTGGAAATGCTCTGCGTCCTCTGCTGTGGCGGAGTGAACTTGTTCTTGCTTGGGTACGCAATCTACAGCAAGCAGCAGAGCCAGAGAAGCAGCACGCGCAGCTGCGCGCATGTACTGGGCTTCTCACAAATAAGGCTGCAGCCCCTCCACAGCATTCGTCGGTGTAATTCAATACAACATTCGTTTATGAGCTAGGAGTTATAGAGCGGGTTCAGGACCCGCGCGGTGGCTCACAGGTCATTCTATGTGGAAAAGCGAGCGTGGAGCAAGCTTCATGATAACCCGCGGGCTCGATTCGATAAAACATGAACAAACAAAAATAAAATTTAAACGCCGAGGGGTCCGTTCCACAGAACGTACCTTTTTCCTGGAACAGGCGCTGACGGCATTCTGCCCCTGAGCCCCCACCGCCTGCTTGCCTTCATTATTATCGCAAGAAGAGTTCGACATTCTGTTACGGTAAGACGGTCATAGTTTGTTAGCCGATCCGTATTGTATATTTTAGTTCGTTCCATCATGAAGATCGGTGGCCATAGGGCTTTCAGCCCAGCTGCCGATCGCTGAAGGGGCTCCTCGCGCCCTCTTGATGCAAGTCTTATTCGTTTACATCGGTGAGCGCACTAATGACAGACCTAGACCACAACGTCAACTGGAGGTTCTTCCCTTTCACGACACTTCCGAGACCTACGCAAGCCCTGCTACATGTGCTTCAGTATACTGTACCTGTTCCTCCTTGGCAATCTTCCAAGCAAGCGTCGGTGCATCGTCGTTTGTCAACCCCTTGGTGATGTGTTTATTGTGTTTTCTGTTCGTCTCAGCTCCGCGCTCCGCGTGACTATTGCAACAATAATAGTAGAATGCGGCCTCTGAAAGCAGGCTCGAAGGGAGCGGGGCTGGCGTTTCTTCATTTTATGAACGTGCCGAGGTTGGGCACTGCCGTTTGACCATAAAAAGTTGGTCCTTGTGTCTAGCCTTGCTCGAGACAGTCTAGATAGACGAGCGAGATTGCGAACGCACATTGAAAAATAAAAATACGCACTTATTGTAATCGATGGCCATTCATTGTGAATGCATATTGTAGGTCGACCGAAACACCAAACTTTACCCCCCATACGAGCCGAACACCGAACGTCGCTTCGTGCTTTGCCCGGCCAGGCTGTGTAGAGATGCGAGGTCCGTATTCCAAAACGACTTTGATACGTGTGATCCATGATAGAGAACTGCATCAAATTGGCGCATATGTGTGTACGTGAAACAAATTGCCCGCCGCTGGGTGTATGGGAAATATTTGTTGTTCATCTAAGGCGATAAAGGTCTCGGAAACAAGTCAAACTAGCACAGAAATAGGCCTAGCGCGTTATCGTGAGGTGACACCACCAATATTGCCATGTTTGACTTCCCCACCGCGGATGTCGACGCGGTCCTCCCATGCTCAAAACGGCCGTGTTAGGCTTGTAGTACAGGATGGTTCGAGCAGACAAGACGATAGAAGGCTGGTTGCTCGGAGAGAGATAAAAAGGATACTTGCGATAGAGCACTGGTTGCTCGGGGAGAAAGGGAAAAAAGTTAAGATGAGCCTGACTTCTGGTTTCTTATCAAACGCATATGGCAGCATACCGCACGCGAACTATCCGAGAGCAAAAGCTCTAACGATGAATCATTTTCCTCCTAATTTATCCCGAATGTTCACTGGTGGTGTCCTGGAAACACTCCGTCCGCCTTCGCGCTGGCCACGACCGAGGAGGAAGCCATACGTATCGTCCCTGTGGTTATCATTAAATCCACTACGTGACAGAAGACTGCTCATCCAGCTGGAGGTCAGCTTAGCTGAAACAAACTAAAACTCTTGCCAGTATTTTCCTCCTACACCCCTTCCAGCACAACCTGTCAGAAACGCAAGATTGACATCACATGGTATTGCTGGGGAGAGATCGCTCTATGCTGCTCGTGGACTAGTGGATACACAAGTTGGCCATGTTACACTTATCTTGGCTCTTTTTCTGTGGATAGAGATGACTTCGGTGTGTTGTTGTACTACGGTGGGGGCCCCGGTTTAGCGACCCCCTGTTTAGCGACATGCCCTGTTTAGCGACCCCAAAATCTCGTGACACCGCTGCACCCCGGTTTAGCGGCCAAACCGGTCGAGCCCTCAATAGCGACTTATTTGGCTGTTTTCAGCGGGCAATAGCGACCATCGGTTCAAATTTTGCGGAGACCCCGCGTTCCTCTACACACAAAGACACAACACCGCGGGGCACGTACACACACGCAACATGCCGTGCGCCGATGGAGAGTTGTGCAAACAGCTGGATGTGGAACTGCGGGCACCCCAGGGGCATGTTTGCCATGGTGGCTGCGGTGGACGCCTGCAGCTGATGGGAGGTTCTCGATGGCATCGAGAGGCATCGAGATGCACCGCACCTGCCACGAGTGTGCATCCAAGAACATGCAGGCTTCCCCACCCGTCTCGAGTCCACTAAACGAAAAAGAGAAATAGAGGTAGATGGGGCGGGAGAAGTTGGCGGTGCGGGGGGTGGGGAAGTGATGGCGCCGCCGCCCTACTCGGAGTTTTCGTCGCATTTTGGATCGCTTGAAGAGTGTGAGGAGTCGTGGACTACGCGAGGCAGCGTACCATCTTGGCAAGGCAAAGATGCTGTCCACCGAAGCACACTCCGCGAAACCAGCGCGACAAACCAGCGCGACAGATGGACATCAGAGACATGTTGAGTTAAACATGATCGGTATCACGCGACAGTAGCAGAATGAAGTCACTAGCAGCGCGAGGTTCTTTGCCGCTTGGGCGTTCACGAACTTTCTCCGTGCCATGCAGAGGTGTTTTACTATTGTCTTTTGGGGGACGTTGCCATAACTTTTTCCCCTCTTCCGCCTTCTTTTTTTCATAATTTGTAGATCGGACTTTTAGCTTCTACGTGTGTGTTGATCTATGTACATGTAGACACAGATTGTTCAGCATGCGGGAACATAAAATGACACAAGACACCCTCTGTACACTTGGTGTTGAGACATTTCCTACAAACTTCGGAGGGTACAGCAAGCTTGATGGTTGATTGGAATGCATACCGTAGAGGAACTACTCCCCGGTTGTCCACCCTAACGTGCTTCTTCTTTCCTCTACCTTCATGTGACTGCTGCAATACGACGCATACATGACCCGGTCAAGAATATTTCTGCAACAAGGCTCTTTAGTCCCACGAAATGGCGCTATTTTCCGGTTTAGCGACCGCTGGTTGCTATTGAGGGTCCCGGTTTAGCGACCATTGGTCGCAAAACCGGGTTTAGTGACATGCCCTGAATAGCGACCATATTTCGTCGTGACACTAGGGGTCGCTAAACCGGGCCCCCCACTGTACAGAGAAATGTGTATTATGGCCGTCTGTACCATGCGTCTCACAACACCTGAGGGGTTTGGACTAGAGAGCTGACCCAATATTTCTATTCATGTGTGTCTGCCGCCCCCCTTTTCCAGAGGTGACGATGAAAAGGCTCTGTCAGACCATCTGCGCCTCCATTCTCGTTGCTCTCCGAGCGTCGGCGTATTGTACCTGCAGGACCCTGCCTTCAACTGCGGTTGGTGCCTCGAGCCCTCAACAACAGTTTTCGCCTCCCATCGCCAAAACTGAGCTTCGTGTTGGTCGGCCGAACCCCCTCTTTGGTCGCTCAAAGCAGGGAGAGACAGGCGGCGGAGACTCCCACCACAAGATGGCGGAAAATTCGCGTATCCGCCCCATACGAAAGGAAGACCTCCCGGCTCTCAAGTCCATCATCGACGGGACTGATCTATTTCCTTCGGCGATGCTAGACGAAATGACCGACGGTTTCCTCAACAACGACGCAGAGGATATTTGGCTAGCTCGTCTAGGAGGAGATGGCACCCCGGTTGGTTTGGTCTACGCCAAACCGGAACTGATGACGGAAGGAACTTGGAACGCTTTGCTCCTGGCGGTTTGTCCCGACGTTCAGAGATCTGGATTCGGCCGCGAGCTCATGGCGGGTTTGGAGAGCATGCTGAAGGGGCGCGGCCACCGGCTGCTGATCGTTGAAACGTCTGGAAATGAAGACTACGCAGGGGCGCGATCCTTGTATGAAGGCGTTGGTTTTGAGGAGGAAGGTCGCATCCGAGGCTTTTATCAACCCGGCGAGGATAAGGTCATTTATCGAAAGCAAATACTGTAGAGGGTAGTGTACCAACAAAGAAGGGTGATGGACGCGGAAGAAGAAGAATGGGTAACGCAGTAGAGCGGGGTCGTTGCAAGGTGTTCACAGACGCCCGCTGGAGGAGTTGCATTGGAAGGCGATGTTGCACTGTGGCTAGTTCCGCCGTTCACGGGTGCTATTTCAATTCTTTCGACGGAGGTTTTCATGGTGTCAATTTAGAGTTGTACGTGGACACGGGCAGCGCAAGGTGTCATTTCACCAGATATTGCTGGCAATTATTTTTCTAAAACGGTTATCAAATTAGCAGATTATCGCAGGCAACTTTCATAGAAGTGGATTGTTATGGAAATGCCTACGCATCTCCCCTCTTAGTCCATGTTCAGTACTACTGCTTATGAAGACGAGTGACGTATGTGTTATCTGTGGTCGGTTGGAACGTAACGCATGCGGAGGAACTAAAAGTTGTACGTAGCCTGTCTTTTGTTCTGTCGTTCGGTGCTCGACCTCACTCTTTGGGATCTCTCTCTGTGATCTATCGGACTGTCTGGGTACCTCAGCTGTTCTTGCCGTACCTTGGATGCTGCTGGCATACTACCTGGACTGCAACCAACCGTCTGTCTGGTGTATTTCGCTGTCTTGGCAACCGAAGCGCCGTGTTTACAACATCTCTCCATCTTCTTCTGCACTGAAATACTGCTGTGCTTCTGCTGCTACAAGCTCCACAAGCTTTCACATCGACTAGCGTCGGTGGGCGTCAGCTTCTGCTGCTACGTCCTGGGGTCCACACACAATCCCCATAATACAAAGGAGGGTCAAATGACAGGGAATCCGTCTCTTGCGTGTCGCTTGTTTTTCTCGGTAAGGAGAGATTTTCGCCGCCTTCCGTGTAAGCGAACCATCTTGCAACGGCCTATGGCATGGAGCAACCATTTTTGTCGGGGTGCATCTTGATGAGAAGCAAGCTATTTTTTGGGCCGCGACTTCTTGGCGTGCAATGTTTTCGAAGAGGATTGACTACGCGGGGGCATTCACTTGGCAAAACAGACCGGCAGCCCACCCCAACTCGACGTTCGGTACGTCGGCGTGCGTCACCCCTTACTTCGAGAGCACGTGGCCAAGAAGGAGTTTGAGATTGCGACGTGTGTGAAGGGTGAAGGATGACCTTCAAAACCTGAGCTCTCCCATGTTGGTATGCTCTTTGACCTCCTCCTCTCACTATTGGGGGGACGGACAGGCCCGTGGGTAATGTACGGTTGTAGAGGGGCAGGTACATAAGCCGCGTGTATATAGGCGTACTCTAGATTAGATTTCATATGACAATAAGAATCTACTTCGTATTATAATATTATTAGACTATACGAAAAATATCTTAAAAAATGAAGATCACACTCACGAAATTGTTCTTCACGATGACTCGTGACAACACCAGTTCTACACTATTTTCTGTTCCATCTCTGCCTGTACCACACACTACCACAAAGGCCGGAGCGACTGTTTCGTGACTAGAAGGACTTCAACACCACGTTGGCTGTTGCCATCTTCTACCGTGAGCAGCCTACACTAATGACAAGAAACTCGCGTAACCCTCCAGGTTGTCGTCCTTCGCCCCCCCCCCCCCCCCTTCCCGCTTGGGGATGTGAAAACCTGGTCCGGGGAAAACCCGGCGCGCTCCCTCCCGGCTTTGTAGGGATGCGAGGGCAATGGTCAAACGACTACGGCATGCACGACTATGAATACACCCCCCCCCCCCCATTGGCGGGGCCCCTGTTCATGGCCAAAAGGGGGCTCCCAACCCAAATCTACCCCGCCAAAAACCAAAAAATTTTGTCCCAAAACCCGGGGGACCCTTTTATGGGGTTGCCTGGTGGG